AACAAAGAAAATTTCAAACTTTTAGCTCTAGTAGTGGCCATGGTCCCTTACAAGAGGTGGTCACTCACAAGAGGTTCCAAATATAGTGATGTGACTTTTGGTATTTTGGAAAACTGTTCACTGAGGAGGGGTGGTCGCAGCCGGAGGTTCAACTGTATTTATTTATAACCACAGAACTATTTTCTTTTGTTTTTTGTTTTCTTTCTTATAAATTTTAACACTACATTGCCAACAACCTTTAAGTCATTTTCAATTTTGTGACTCAGCTAAAAGAGCTCTTTAGTTACTCTGAGTAACTTTTATCAGTTCCTGTTCTTTGCCATTAATATGTAAACATTTTTCTTAAAAAGTGTGATAATGTTGTTGTTGTTAATAGTGAGATTTTCATTTATGCCTGTGTAGTAGAGGGGTGAAAGATTCTGTTAACTGCCTTACAGTATATTGGGTTGCAAATATTTTTATTGAAGGAATGTCAATGCTGACTTGCTTTTTTATGACAGAAACACATTTGCTGGCCTGTTTAGTGAATTACTTTGACAACAGTCCAGATTTTAAACGGTGAGTACAATTCATACTTTTACTTACTAATAGTTAATTTTCTGAAATTTATGACGAATAATATGTTTTTGCCTTTAGTGAGCTTTTAAAACCTTGAAGGTCTAAATTAATGACTTTATGGTAATAAGGCTGTGTTTAGAAATTATGATTGAAAGTTTGTTATACCACTGAAATACAAGATGCCATTGGATTCTTGTCCACAGAACAAGTAATGGTGTTATTAGCTCAGATGAGTTGCTTTTGACTTACAAAAGCATTCATCAAGATGTCAGGGCAGCAGTAGACTGGGTTCATTTGAAGGTAAGTCTGTGACAATACTGTTGATATTCAACATTTGCCATAGATTCTGAATGCAATTTCAAAATCTAAGATTGGTCAGTCCTGACCCTGCCTTAAAGTCTCAAACAGCTCTCACACCAATGTCACAACTCACTCAAAAGGTATCATTTTAAGTGGGAACAACAGGCACATCTAGGGACTTACTTTGGGTTAGAAAATTTGCCATGGGGCAAAAGATTTTGGTAAGGACTTTTCTGTGGGGTTTCCTTAAATTCTGTCACAAACAGTATCTTTTGTGATTATCATGACTATGATTATGATACTGATTATGATTATGATTATGATTATTACTTTTAATTATTATTAATTATTACTATTAATTATTATTATTATTATTATTATTTTGGTTTTTGCTCTTAAATTCCAAACAAAGAGCGCAGTCTGCCTAAAGTTTGAGACAGATTTGTGATGTATTATGATGAATAAAGGAAGGTGAATGTAAAACTTGCCTGGAACTCCCGTGATGTTTTGTTTTTTTTGACACTATTTTTTATGCCGTCAAAAAAGGACTTTTTTGTGTCATATTCTATAATGACGGATTTTTTGTGGGTCTGGCCTTTGCATGATAGAACCTTTTGGGAGTTTGACAATTTGGTCTCATTTGAACCTCCCTGTTGCTATTATACCTAACTACCCTTGTGATGAATGTTCTAACAGCACACAAATGTGTTTTAACAAAACAAACTTGTGTCTTCTTTGCAGGGAACACTGAAACAAAACACTGTTGATAACCTTGACACATATGTTATTAAAGAGGTCAGTACAAGTTTGTATACTAGTTCAATTTTTCACATATATGTCAATGACTTGAGTTTGTTCATTCCATCAGTAGTGTAGAGGCCATTGTTGAAGTTTACTTGGCTGTCCATAAAATGAGCCACCATAATATCAGTCACAAAATTTATAAACGTTACTGGAATTCTAGAGTTTTGGTCCAGGTTAGGATAAATGGCCAAAACAATAATTATGTGGAAATACTTTGAACCGCTGTGTATGTGTTAATTACTAAATGTATCAGTTAACATAGAAAATGAAATCGCTATCAGTACATCATGAAAGATATTAAGGCTCATGCTTTCATTGGTATAACTTAAACAAAATTGAAAGAATTTTGAGACATGTCCTAGAGTTCAAGAAGTATCTGCAATAGTAATGGCAAACTGTACTGAGCTGATAAAATAATATGATTTCAAAGAGGTGGTTAAATGTTTTTTCATTATGATTTTGTTTTAGCCTAAACTTGCAAAGTTATTGAGCAGGTATGTTTAACGTTTTTAGAATTTAATGAATGAATAACTTTATTACCAAGTCAACTTACTTTTTCATCAATTTGAAGTTTTGTTTTTACCGTACACAAACTTGTCCTTTCAAAAAAGTAATTTTTCAATTCGTTATAATTCTAGAATGAGGAAAAATGGGCGCAAGACATTTATACTTACAAACAGTGGCTATTCGTACACAGACGTAAGTACATAAATGTGTTTGTAACTTGGATGTATTTATTTCACAGTAGTGTTCTTCGCTTTTCAATTTGCCAACATATGATTAAATAAACAGACCATTCTTTCATACTTTTCTTCCAGAAAATCATGACGTTCTTGTTGGATGAAAAAGATGAGGTACGTCACATGAACGTGTTTGGTTGGCTTTATACAGTAGCAAAATGGTTATGTTCTTAGCAAGTGTAAAACTGCTCCCCATTCAACACCTGTTTTGTGGGCATCTCAATAGTTTTGAAACTTTTGACTTCAACTAATTCTGCTTTGATTGTAAAATAATGGTCCATACATAATGGAGTCATCTAATGATTTTTTTTCTTATATTCCTTTTATTTTAGTCTGGGAAGACGATCAAGAAGTGGACGTCGTATTTTGACTACGTTGGTGTAGATGCTATGAAACCAATCTTCTTTGGAGAAGGTAAATGAAGAAAGACATAAAGGAAAGAAAATTCGTGAAATAAATGTAGGTCAAAACCAATTTACAAATATGCTAGCAGGAATTTCATTAATGTTTTCAGCGGAAGGGCATCTTGTTTTCGCAGGTGGGCAAAACTATTTGAACTGAACTTCTGAGGTAAGAAAAACTTTCCTCTTGATGGTCAAACCACGCGGGCAAACTCAACCTCACAACTGGTCAGTTTGCCCGGTGCCTGGCCCTTAATGAAACCCCCGTGCTAGCAGAAAACACTGTTACCTTGATTGTATTTCTTAAACTTTATTGGTCTATTGTGTTATTGCCACCAGTATTCAGACACTATAACAATAGTGTCAGCATGTTTTAGTGTCCCCATTTAGTGGCTTTGGTACTGCTATTTTAGTCTGACACTTAAATAAAATTACTTACTCGCTTAAAAAACCATCTACTATAATTAAAGTAAAAAATCAAACACGAAAGACCGTGATTTACCACATTTCCAAACACTGAGAAGAGAGTTGAAAATACGACATGTAGCGGTGTATTTTTGACGAACTTGACAAACTAAAACTACGAAGAAATAAAATTGTTAAAATCTCTGCTTATTGCTAATTAAGATCATATATCCAAACTCTGTAATGGTCATGATTTCCTTTGTTTAAACTTGATGAATTATTAAATGAGTTTGAGAAAGGAATGTAAACTTACTTGATATACTCAACTTATACTTCCTTTAGGTACAGCACTGAGGAGGGTGGACACAGTAAGACATTTTTTTTCCTTTCTTGTCTGCATTTCAAACCAAGGGCTAACGTTTTTAAACAATTTAGCATTTTTGTGAGCAACCCTGGCATGTTATTCAGCCAAAGAACCATCTGAGTGAATGTAACTTGTTCAGCCCAGTTGTTCAAGGAGGGCTCAGGATAAGCACCAACTTCAAGTTCAGTTAATTAGAGTATGTGAAAAGTGAACTAATCAACATGACACGAGCATGGGACAAAGGAAAAATCTGAGTCCCTGACAGGAATCGAACCCATGACCTCCCAAACACCGGACGGGCGCTCTATCCACTGAACTACGAGAACTCATGGAGAGCAAGATCATTTAACTGGGTTCGTGTCATGTTGATTAGTTCACTTTTCACATTTCATTACCAAGCTTAAAAATTCACCATCTTTATTCACTTAATTAGACTATGTTAATTAGACTAATTTAATTTCACAGGAGACTGGAACTCTTAGCATTGGAAGATACT